CTTCAAATCACTAAAAAATACATTAAATGGTTGCACTTTGGTTTATTGATCACTTACTATGAAAAAAAAAATAAGACCTAGATTTGGAAGGAGACTTGCTTAAGGTAGTATTGGAAGCAGAAGACACAGGAAGTAGAGATGACTTCAAGTGGGAAAGTCATACAAGGGAGCAAGAGAGACATGACTTCTTCACCTGGGGAGATACAGAGGGTTCTTCACCTAATCTTGTTGGCTCTGAGATGCGATTGTGAACTTTCTGGAGGAAGGCTGTGGCTCCTACACTCCAACCCTTTATCAGAATTTCTCAGTTCTTGCTTTTTAAGATGATCTAGGAGGTAAAATATTCACTTCCAAAAATCTCAAGGTTCTCCTTGATATGTCCGTTCACACCATAGATACTTTAACGTTAGTTTTCACACATCAGAGCTTTTGCTAATAGTGTTGTTCTTCAGTGTTTACTTGGCTTTTGTCTTGCAAAACAGACTATGGTCTTCTCAGAGGCTGAAGCTGTATCTTATTCTTGACATCTGTGTCAGATTGCTTTAGTGAGTGGTTGTTAAATACCATTGGTTAATTGCATTTCCAGGTGGGATAAAAACACTGGTAATTTCTTCTCTTTCACAAGGCCACATGGTCATCAAAAAAAAAGCAAAGATTACTAGGTGGTTTTAACAAATAATTAGGTTCTTCTGTATTCTGGAACATTTTCTGATATCTAGGGGAAAAAAGCATTCCATTGCATCTATTAAGTGTCTGTAGGTATTTTAGAGAGTTGGAAGGCAAAAATATACCAAAATGTAGCAGAATATTCCTCCAACTCACATCCACTCTGTATCTCTTCTCAGGTTTCAGGAATTCTTCATCATTGTCAGGAGGTTTTGTAGGGAACTTGTCCAGAGTTCCTGCAGCAGCCCAAGGGAGAGCCAGCAGTATCCCCTGCAGAGTGGGATTTCTATGAAAAAGGAGCACTTCTGGTCAATTCAGAGAAATTAAAAGGCTATCCAGCTGTAGGCAAATGTATTCGCTTTAAATCTGTACTGTGTTCCAGAAGGAAATGGCTTTACTCATCAGCTGCCTATTGGCAATTGCCGTTTGTTTCCAAGTAAGGGAAGATTACCAAAAATGTTTATTTTTTAGCTTATTCAAATATTTATATTTTCTCTAGCTTCTTTTCTGAAATATTTTGGCTCCCTCTTTTTTCTGATAAACAACTGCTGTTCACATTTTCTTTGTTCCACTAGTTTATGAATGTTAGCTTTAGAATGGATCTGTTTCTTCAAGGATCACTGGAAAGTGAGATTCCACGTAGATCGATACATGGCAAAGTAGAGAAAATTTACAGTTCTCTGACCCCAGAAACTGCAGTTTAAAAATTAATATCCTAAGGATTTCAGAGGGAGAAGAGAACCGCCCTGTGAATGCCTCACATGTGTAGATAGTCCCTCAGAAAGGGAGCCAGCAAACGGCAGGCTTCTGTGCTCTCATACTCCTTGTTCCTCCAGGCTGCTGTTCTGGCCAGAGGTCAGCCTTCTCAAACTTGCTACCCAGTCCCTTTGCCACCTCTCCCTAGCTCCAGTCACAAGCTCATTTCCCTTCCCCCTTACTTCCTTGAGATACTTAGGTGTTAGTCTTGCCCCCTGCCCTCCACATTGCCATTAGGGCCTGCGACCCCATTTGCTGCTCTCTGCTTTCTTAGAAGTTCTGGTCTCTGGTTAGCTGTGCCTCTGCTTACGATAACTGAGACCTAGAATAAAAGAGATAGCAAATGTGGGGAAACATACATTTGACTTTGAATCTGTTATAGATTTGAGAGCTATAAGATTATTAGACATATATGTCTAGTAGGTAATTGCACCTATGGGAGAGATTGAAGTTATAGGAGAGTGAGAGAAGGTGGATGATACAAGATCCCATCGGTGATGAAATGGGTTAGAACCTAATATACTAGGAGAGGAGTGTTTATTATTTGGAGAGGAGAATATGTCTTTCCTTGGGGCTGGAGGGCAGAGGTTGAGTACTCTAACAGATCTCTCTGGTGCTGAAAAGAAATGAAGAAGGGGGGGTCCTTGTGTGCTAGCTAAAGGAGATAAGAACATTGAGAGTGAGGAAGTGGGGAGGGCAGCAGGTAGTGAAGTGGTGAGGTCCTGTGACATTTGGAGTGAGTAGACTATGGAGAGAGAATAGGCTGTGAGGAAGGGCTTGCTGATAGGATTATGGGTCTGTCTTGAACTTAGGGGTCATTCTTGTGTAGCAGCACCCTTTTCTCCAGGAATGGATTTCCTCCATCTGTGCTGGGCAACATGAGAGTGAGAGGTGGTTAGGGTGCTGGTGTGGCCCTCTAAGAGTATGGAGGGGAATGAACCAGTTATCATGTCAGTAACCTTGTAGTCTTCGGGGCATAGTCTGTAGGAAAGTGAAACCAGGCCACTGGCTGGATCAGAGAGAAGGGAAATAGCTGAATTGTCCACTGTAGCCCAGTTCTGTACACCACCATTGGCTTACACATGTGTTTCATAAATGTTGGCTGAATCAGTGATGGAGACAAAGAACTGGTTTTATAGGAATCAGAGGTAGTGATGGGGTCTTTGATAGGGTGGGATTTTTGTGTTTGTTTTGGTTCTGGAGTAATTCTTTGTCATGTAGGTTTACTGAATACTGTAATATTGAAGCCCACCCGGGAAGGTGACAGGAGACAAAGTGAGCCAAGGGCCAAGGCCTCTGCAAAGTTTTTGTCTGTTGTTGATGTTTATGGCATGAGAAATAGCCATCTTGAGTAGAATTTGTGAGCTTCAGGGTATAGGGGATTTCTCATGAGGGAAGTATGTCTAGAAAGGACCTAATGACCCTAAAAGAATGCAGACCCTATTGTCTAGACCCTAAGGGTTAGGTGTTGTAAGAACTAATGATAGGCAGGGAGAAGAGATCTGAGGAAAGCCAGGTTGTAGGAGAAGGTGGAGAAGACATTTGTGAAAAGGCTGAGAGTGTAGGGGCTGTTTAGAATAGTGAGGGGTCCCAAGATGGAGGACAAAACAGAAGGACTGCAGCAAGTTCTTGGCAGAGCACTGGAAGGCTTACTTGTGTCAATCTCTGGGGTTAGTAGTAGGCTGGTGCTTATAGGGGAAGCACAATGGGGCAGTAGGGTAGCTACTCTGGAATGACAGCTGATGCCACTGCGGTCTGCATTTGTCAGGGGACCTGTGCCAAGCTGACAGGTGTGTTGTCTTAATTATCCTCTTTGATCCTCATAATGTGTTACCTCATTTTACAAAAACTGAAACTCAGGAAAGTTAATATACCTAAAGGTCACACAGTCTCATGGTTCCTATCCAATTCTTACTGATTATGCTTAATTTCTTTTGTGCACTTGCACTTCATGTATTGTCCTATTCAAAGACAGCATAGATACAGGAATATAGTCAATGCATTCTGTAGTGTTATAGTTAGTGAGTGTTGCTGGAAAGTCTCCTTCTTGGCCCAAACACAACAACGGTGTAGCTAGCTCTCTAGCACCCCTTGGTGGCAGTGACAGAAGTGTGGTGTGCTAGGGTAAGAGTGAACACTGACTAACTAGCCTGAGGTACCACAAAGTCAGTGATAGGCAGCAGCAAGACCATTTTCTTTGTTGTGAACATGGCACTTCCCAAATACAGCCTTTAACAGTTGTTTGTCTATGTATCTTAACTGTAAGGTAATAATATGATTTATACCCCTACAGTGTTTAGGGACATTCAAGTATGAAAGTGTGAAAAGACACCCACAGTGAGAGTTAAATCCTTTGGCTTGAACCCTTCTTATCCATTGATAAACACCCTTTGCCCCAGCCAATGCCCAGGTCCATCCCTTTCCTTATAAGCTAGGATGGTACTCCCTTCCTATTTCCTTTCATCTTTATTATGTCCCATTTCGTTGGCTTTTTTCATTAGCATATGAACACATTTTAATACTGCCCATTGAAAAAAGAAAGAAAAGCTTTAGAATCTGTCACCTCTTTCTCACACCACTCCCAGCCTGGTTCCATTTTTCCTAGTTAAATTTCTTAAAGAATGGTTTCATAAACCTCTTTGCTATCACTCTTTTCCCAATCCACTGCCCCTTGCCTTCTGCCAATTCTATCTCTCCACCAAAACCACCCATGTGACCAGTTAATGGGAGAGGAGTACCTGTTCTTATCAAGACCCCAGTGGGCTGTTCAAAGAGTAATGTGAAATATAAGGCCTCATTGAAGGTCTTGAAGGTGGCAGCTATTCTGAATTTCAGCTATTGTTTTGCAGTTTGAGTTGTTTCTTTCATGACTATCAATCTAGCAGTAGGGCTGTATTATTGGGGCTGGCTGGTTATGTTTAGCCCCCAAGTAGGCTAGGTATCGATAGTTAATATTGGTGTTCCAGTGATGCCTTCATAGTCACATCTTTTCCTTTCTGGATACTGACTCACTTGAAAAATAGATTCAGAGATTAGATGGGTATCCAAACATAAACTTTCTTCATGGTGAAAGCTGGACTAGAGATATTCTGTGAGAAATTTGTGCTTTGTAATCTTGTGTAGTGAGTGGGTCTATAGAGTAGACCTTCATCCACCAGCTACATGGAAAGCCTTAGAGCCTGGCACTTATTAATTAGAGAAGACATTGGTGACTAGTCAGTGGTCTGTAAATTACACATCTCAACAACTTAGCTTTTCGTATCTGTCTCTCCAGGGCTCTTCGGTCAGTGGTAGTGTAGTCTTCAGCAAGATTTCTGAATCCTAGTTGGCAGATTTTATAGGAGAGTGGTGGTACTGTTCTGGACATGAAATAGAGGGGTGGCTTCACTGGGTTGAGTTTTTATCCAGTTGAAAACTCCTAGGACTGTTTCTGACAATTTGGATTTTGTTAGAGCTAGATTTGTACATAATAATAAATGCTCATGCATTTATTAGTTAATGAGTTAATCAGTAAAGCCAAATTGTTAGTGTCCTTTCTGTTACCACAGATTCAGTTTGTTTATTTCTACATTTTACAGGTTGAATATAAGCTGGGATTCCAAGTAGACAATTTTGTGGCTATGGACATGCCCCAGGTCAACATTTCTGCTCAGGGGGAAGTTCCACGCACTTTATCAGGTGAGTCTGAAAGAGTGAACATACTGTTTTCAATTGTGTCCCCCATATCCCAAAAAGAACAGCTTAACAATTGACATATAGTGTATTCTACTTGATAGGCATAGGTGTATAAGTGTTTTGAAAAGTAATTTTTGAAAATACTGATTATTTGCACTGTGTTTTAAACCATTCCCTCTTTTCCATCCTTTTCAGAACTGTCTATACTCAGCACTTCCTTATCTCCTTTTTCTGCATTGCTGGCACTGGCCTCCACATGGATCTCTGTGTCTGGTCTTGTTCGTTTTTGACAAATTCCCACACCATGGCCTGGATGATCACTGAACACTCCTATCTGACCAAATGACATCAAGCCCATCAGGGCCCCTTACTCCCATCAACTGAGTCCACTGCACACTCTCCAGCCAGTGTGCTGTATGTTTATCCTGTCCCCTTACCTGCCTGTCTAGCTGTGTTGCTGCATTTGCCCTAGCATTCCAGTGGTGCCATACTACATGCGGTTTTGACATCCTTGCCTTTGCACGTGCTCGTCAGTATATTTGGAACTGCCTTTTCCTCTTTTCTGCTTATAAACTCCTACTCATACTACCCTGCAGGATCTTGTTCTTCCTACTCTGCAGGATCTTGTAATTTAAATGTTTTTGAACTGATCACATTATCTTGTAATTCTTTGTGCTTGTCTCTCCCTGCTGGCCTGTGGTTAACCTGAGGACAGGAGCTCTCTTTTTCAGCCATCTAGCATTGGTGCCTGGCACAGCATCTGCACAGGATAATCACATAATACATCTGACTAAATGATTTAAGTGTCATATATATACCAGTTTAACTACTATTGAGCCAGCCTTTTGAGAAAAGCTCCTAAAGATGTGAGATTTTAAGAACAGTGAACTTCTTAAAATTTGAAAGGGTAAGCCATGTACTTTCCACAATATTGTGGAACTTTTTCTGGCAGTCACTCATCATTATTGGTGACATACATTAAGCTTTAGGAAAGCATAGAGAGGCTTACTCATTTTTATGGGTCAGTAAAGAAGTTCAGAAATGCCCATATTTTTCATATGCTCATACAGATAGAATGATATTGTAGGGGCACCTAGGTGGCTCAGTCAGTTGAGCATTCAACTCTTGATTTCAGCTCATGTCATGATCCCAGGGTCATGGGATTGAGCCCCGCATTGGGCTCCATGCTGAATGTGGAGCCTGCTTGAGATTCTCCCTTTCTCTCTCTTCCTCTTCTTCTACCCTGCTTAGTGTGTGCTTTCTCCCTCTCTCTCTCTGAAAAGAAAAAAAGAATGATACTCTAAATTTATAGGAAAAGAATCTTAAACTGAAAGATTGGAAAAAAATGGTGTGCACCAAAGTCTCATTGCTACAATAATTGATTAAAGTCACTTTCTGTTTAGAAAGGGTTTTTCGGGGGTGCTTGGGTGGCTCAGACGGTTAAGCATCAGACTTCGGCTTGGGTCATGATCTCGTGGTCTGTGAGTTCGAGCCCCGTGTGGGACTCTGTGCTGACAGCTCAGAGGTTGGAGCCTGTTTCAGATTCTGTGTCTCCCTCTCTCTCTCTGCCCCTTCCCCGCTCGTGCTCTGTCTCTCTTACTCTCAGAAATAAATTAAAAAAAACCAACACAACACATTAAAAAAAGAAAGGTTTTGTTTTGAAAGCTTTGTATTTTTTAAATTCACAGTTGACTGATTTATCAGGTGATCAGTTTATGGGTTTATATTTAATCTTCGTTAAGAGTAATACATAATTGCATTTTGGTGATAAATTGTCTTTCCTTTTTATCAAGTAATTTTTGTTATCGTTGCTGATGTGACTGGTAAGGTAGCATGGTTTGCCTTATTCAGTAGCTTTACTATATTATAATGAGAGGACTTATGAGACAAAGTAATCTATTAAAAATCATGAGAAAAAGTTGAAGATAATAATCTCTTCTTTTTTATGTCTTGGCTTGTTCTTCAATGTTTAACTTTTATATCTATAATAAATGAATGATGTCTAAAGGTATGTAGTCTGAAGATAAGTTCTCTGAAAATTTTAGTATTATGTAAATATTCTTTTAGTTTTATGCAACAAAAATAAAGAACTGTAAAATACTAGGTATTAATGTTGATTTTTTAGAAAATTAAAATATTTTTTCTTTTTTGTTTTTTAAACAGTGTTTCGGGTCGAGCTTTCCTGTACTGGCAAAGTAGATTCTGAGGTTATGATACTAATGCAGCTCAACTTGACAGTAAATTCTTCAAAAAACTTTACAGTCTTAAATTTTAAACGAAGGAAAATGTGCTACAAAAGTAAGGAATTTATTCACCAAAGTATGTGTTTTATATAGATGTCAAAAATACATTTTGTCATCTTTTTCTAGATTTGTGACCAAATCTTGATTATAGTAGCAAATGAGAAAAGAAAAAGCAGTAACAAATGAAATTCTGAGAAAATTGCCTGATAGCTACCTTGTTGCCAGGAATCTCACTCAGGCCCTGCTTTCTCAAAATCTTTTATCAGAATTGCTAATTCCATTAAGAATGTGAAATAGTATTAAAGAGGTAAAGAAGTCAAGTAATTCTGATAGGGGCCCCTGAGTAACTCAGTGTTAACTGTGTTTGTCTTATAACAATACTATGGCTCAGTTGTCCTGGGGCTGGATATACTTGGCAGGATATTTGGACAAGTTGTTTAACCTAGGTCTCAGTTTTTTCAGTTGTAAAATGGGCATGATAACCTGTTTCAGAAGTTGTTCTTATTTCCTTTTTGGTTAATTGAATCAAACCTAAATCTTAGAATACTGTGTATGGGTACTTAATAAATGTTAATAGCTTTGGGTTTGAATAATCTGGTACTCAAGAAATGACAGTGGCTATGAGAATTCCCATGGGCAATAGATGAAAGAATTTGAGAGTTTTCCTGAAAGATTGTCTAATCCATTCACTTTACCTCTGTGCAACTTAAAGTGAATGGATTAGACCCCCCACCCCCCCCCCCCCCCCCCCCCCCCCCCCCCCCCCCCCCCCCCCCCCCTAAAATAAAGCCCTCTAAAATTGAGTGCCTCGTACTGTGCATTTGTACTATGTTACAAGTGCTTTTACATGCATTGAACCTATTTAGTCCTTGTGACAATTCTAAGCAGCAGTTTCTGTCATTATCTCCATTTTCTGAAGAGGAAACTGAGGCTCAGAGAATCTGACCAACTTGCCAAGGTCAGACAGCTAAGAGGTGCAGCTGCATGCAAACTCGTGCTCTTAGCTCTGTTGTTAAATTCTGTCTTAACACATTTCCTAATTGAAGTTAGTGCTAAGGGTTAGGAAAATACTTGGGGCCAGCAAGTGAGTTATCATGGCTAATGTCCAGATAGATGCCAATAAAAGAGCTGCACTGCCTTAGAGTGGACATTTTTTAAATGGAAAGTTAGCAGGCACCTTTTATTTTCACTGTTTTGATATATTTTATAGTTCTAGTATATTCGGTTATGTATGTACTTTCACACAATTTTAAAGCCAAAGAGGACTTTAGAGACTAGTTCAACCTAGTCATTATATAATTGATGTGAGGAGACTTGTCCCTGGAGAGGCCACCTAAGTTTGCACAGCCAGTCAGGAGTGTAGAAGCCTGGTTCCTGATGCTTAGGGAGGGTGTTCTGACTGTACCATGGTGCTTCGTCTCTTAATATCTAAAGGCAAAATGATGGCCAAATATGATGTGATCAATGGAACCCACCACTGTTAGTATCCACTGAGGTTAATGGTTAGATGACATTCAGAATGATCTCATACTTTCTCCATTTTCTTTAATGTGTACATGAAAATTAACATTAACAGCATAATTTTCTATTCTGTTTTAACTTAAGTTTAATATAGTGCCACCCTTTTCATTTTGTTGTCATACTTCTGGCTACCCCAGTTATCCAATTTATGACTCTTACTTTAATATGTGATCCTAATGTGTTTGTGTGGTTTTCCACCTACTACATTTAAAAAACTGCAACAGAAAACATATCTGTACTATATCAAATGCTAATGGGTGTTACTGGCAAGAAAATGTTCCTTTTTTATGTGAGAGTGGGGACCGCTGGCTCAGATAAGTTTCATTACTTAAGCATTCCTTAGAGCCTTTATACTCTGCTAATGTGAATTGTGAATCTCCACAGATGATATAATACTTGGCTTTCCCCAAACTTCTTGACCACAGAAATCCTTTTTCATTGAGCATCTATAAACAACACCCATAGACTAATGATTGGTGATTAGAGTGATGATGATCAGAATAGTAATGTAGGATTTATTATCTTGCAACAAATACCTTGTTAATTAGTTCAGGCAATGTTCTAATAGAACTAAAACTATGTTAGAGAAAAATTCAGAAAGTGTATTTTAAGTATTTAAGGATTTTCATGGAAAAGAAGGAATTTCTAAAAGCATCTTTTATCTTTTTTAAATTCAGAACTTGAAGAAGTAAAAACTTCAGCCCTGGACAAAAACACTAGCAGAACTATTTGTAAGTGTTAATGTATTACCTTTCTCCATCATGAGGAATAAAAACTGCCTGATTGTAAATGTACATGATTGTATGAGGCTTGGAGGCCTAGTAGTGTCCAGTTTGCCAAAAGATACATGAGGCCTTACTATTTATTTCACTGATTGGTATATAGTCAGATGAAACTGTTAGAATATTGAAATATTTGTAAAGCAAAATTCATACATATTTTATAACAAATGATCTAAAAATTTTTTATAGGCAAGAATTTATATCACATCATTTCAAATGGTAATAATTAAAGTATGAACATGAAAACGTATGTAAGATCCTCATCTCAATAGCAGAAGGTTAGAAAATCTGATTTGTGGCCTGGACCAGTTAACCCTCAGCTAATTTCATCCAGGTGAAAATGCAGCTTAAGGATACTTAAAGATACTTACTTAAACCTGCAGAGCAGAAACTCAAAGTAGATTTTTATTTTAGTAATGGTTGTGTTTAAATGGTATAACTTAGACTTCTTTTTTAGTTTTCTGATGTGGACACATTGAGTCCTATTCTTCCTGAGAGAGTTTTAATAGCACTATCTTAAAAGGATACTGGATTCTCTTCATAAAAGTAAACTTTAAAAAAAAATTGTGGAAGGGAAGAGTTTCAAATATGCAAAAGCTGAGAGAATGCACTGATGAACCTTTGTTCATTTGTGTGACCATTACCCTCCTTCAGTAATGATCAATGTTTTGCCAGTATTGTTCCATTGATTTTCTCCTCCTTTTCTGGATGAGTAAGTGGGTGGGGAGGGTTGGGGTATTTTAAAGCACGATCCAGGCATCATTTCATGTATAAATATTCCAGTATGGATTTCTTTTTAAAAAGGCAATTAAAAAAACAAACCACAAACACCCAGCACCTATTCACTTATATTTGATTTATCACAAAATTAACAAAATTAACAGTAGTTCCTTAATAAATTATTTGGCTAGTTCATGTTCACATTAACCTGATTGTCTCAAAAATATCTTATACTTTCTCCTCCACAGTGGGATCAAATGAAGCCCACACACTGTTTTGTTGACAAATATTTTATATTAATCAGAGATCACCCCTCTCCCCTGTATCACTTTTTTGTTGACAAAATGGAATCACTTATCACATAGAATTTCTCACTTCTTCATCCTTGTGGCATTATTTAACATATTTTTCTTTCTCCTATAAACTGGTATTAGATTTTGTACTTGATTAGATTTAGGGCCAACTCTTGGCAAGAATAGTTCATAGATAGTAGTATGTGCTTCCTGTTTTATCTTTTTCTCACCTCAGGAGGCAAAGAATATCTGGATATCCCAACATGCGCCTTTTTTGAAGATAAAATAATATGAAATGTTGTCTACTTTTTAAGAATATTTCATTGGATTTATCTCTGAGAAGAAAGAAAACCATTTTTTAAAATATCACTGCTTCTCAAATTTACTTTGAAAATTCTGGTGACTTTACCCATTTCTTTTATGTTAATAGGATGTTATTTCTAACAAAGAGAATAGAATATTGCATATTCTTGGTCTCTGGCTCTTTTTCTTGATACCTCTCTCCTTCCCTCCCTTTCTATCCATCTATCCAGCATTTTTTGAGGATGTGTGGTATGCCAGGTGGTATGATTGGAGGCAGAGGATCAAACTGTGAGCAAAACAGTCCGTGCCCTCAAGGGCTTATGATGTAGAGGATGAGATGGACAAGGCAATAAGGCAGTGATAATAACAAGAGTGTGGCAAGCTATGGTGCTTTGGGAACCCTGAGGAGGGGCATGTAATCTCTGACGGAGTGAGGGACAGCTTCCTGAGAAAGTGGCATCTCATCTGAGACTTGAAGGGTGACCAGGTGGTGGCAAGTGAAATGTCAAAGTGAAGGAATAGGAGCAGTGCATACACAAGCCTGGAATTTGGGGGGTGAACAAGTAGGATACATTCAGGGGACCTGCCCGGCAGAGCAGTGTCTTTCCTCTTCTCTGCCCTGGTGTGTGCTTGGATAGGTACTGCCAACACCAGCCTTGGCGACCTTCCTTTTTCTGCCCCTCCCAGGATTGACTAGCCTGTGGCATTCTTCAGGAAAGTCAGGCCTTCGTTCAGGCTGTAGTAAAGTGTAGCTGCTCTGGAAGCCATTTGGTTTCTTTGCTTTAATCTGTTCTGATTTATTGTTTGTTGATTCAAAGCAAAGTTTAAATTTTAGAAAGCAACCTGATTCCCAAGTTTTTCAAAGCTATAGCTTTTATCTTTTGTCCTTACCTATCCCCAGAACTCCACTTGTATTTCTTGTCAGCTTGACATGTCCATGTAGATGTATACTGGGTACTCTTAGTCACAACAAAACTATTGATTTTTTCTCTCTTCCCTCAACTTGCCTTTTTTTTTTTTTAATCTTTGTAAAGTTACCATTATCCACCTAATTCTTTAAGCCAAAGTTTTGATTCTTCTCTTTCTTTTTACCCCAGTATCATTCATAAGCAAGGTCTGTTAACTGTACGCCAGTCCATTAATTTATCTTCCATAACACTCTTGCCCACACCACTGCTGTCTCTTTTTTAGACTACTGCAGTAACCTTCTAACTTCTTCCCTTTCCCTGTTGTTGCTCAACACTCATAGCATTCTTTGCACAGCATGCAGTTGGCTTTGTTTTTTTTTCAGCTGTCATAGTGTATATCATTCCTTTGCTTAGTAATGATTTCGTGTCTTATTTAGGATAAAACCCAAATTTCTCAGGTTTTATTCAGTAGAATTATAATGTGAGTGCTCGGGGCGCCTGGGTGGCGCAGTCGGTTAAGCCTCCGACTTCAGCCAGGTCACGATCTCACGGTCCGTGAGTTCGAGCCCCGCGTCAGGCTCTGGGCTGATGGCTCAGAGCCTGGAGCCTGTTTCCGATTCTGTGTCTCCCTCTCTCTCTGCCCCTCCCCCATTCATGCTCTGTCTCTCTCTGTCCCAAAAATAAATAAATGTTGAAAAAAAAAAATAATGTGAGTGCTCATCATCAAAACTTACTTGATGCTTCAGTTACACCAGTTCTGCTTCTATTTCTGTCTTCACCTGTCCTCGCTTAGAACGTATGTATCTCTGTCTCCGTGCATCTCTTCCTCAGTTTGCCTGTGTGTAGGTGTGTGTGTGTGTGTGTCGGTCTGTTTGCCTGTCTTTGAGTTACTTCCTCCAGCGCCAAGGCTTGCTTTCTCTTTCCCTCTGTTTTGAATAATAGAAAATTGAATACCGTTTACTGAGTGGGGTCTTGTTATCCTGCTCTTATTTTTAAAAATAAGCATGGCACAAGAACAGACACTCAGATCAATGGAACAGAATACAGAACCCAGAAATGGACCCACAAACGTATGGCCAACTAACCTTTGACAAAGCAGGAAAGAATATCCAATGGAATAAAGATAGTCTCTTCAGTAAGTGGTGCTGGGAAAACTGGACAGCGACATGCAGAAGAATGAACCTGGACCACTTTGTTACACCATACACAAAAATAAACTCAAAATGGATGAAAGACCTAAATGTTAAGACAGGAAGCCATCAAAATCCTCGAGGAGAAAGCAGGCAGAAACCTCTTTGATCTTGGCCACAGCAACTTCTTACTCAACACGTCTCCAGAGGCAAGGGAAACAAAATAAAAAATGAACTATTGGGACCTCATCAAAATAAAAAGCTTCTGCACAGCGAAGGAAACAATCAGCAAAACTAAAAAGCAACTGACAGAATGGGAGAAGATATTTGTGAACGACATATCAGATAAAGGGTTAGTATCCAAAATCTATAAAGGACTTATCAAACTCAACAGCCAAAAACCAAATAATCCAGTGAAGAAATGGGCAAAAGACATGAATAGACACTTCTCCAGAGAAGACATCCAGATGGCCAACCGACACATGAGAAAATGCTCCACATCACTCATCATCAGGGAACTACATCAAAACCACAATGAGATACCACCTCACACCTGTCAGAATGGTTAACATTAACAACTCAGGCAACAACAGATGTTGGCGAGGATGTGGAGAAAGAGGATCTCTTTTGCATTGTTGGTGGGAATGCAAGCTGGTGCAGCCACTCTGGAAAACAGTATGGAGGTTGCTCAAAAAACTAAAAATAGAACTATCCTATGACCCAGCAGTTGCACTACTAGGCATCTATCCATGGGATACAAGTGTGCTGTTTTGAAGGGACACATGCACCCCCATGTTTATAGCAGCACTGTCAACAATAGCCAAAGTATGGAAAGAGCCCAAATGTCCACCCATGGATGAATGGATAAAGAAGATGTGGTATATATATACAATGGAGTAGTACTCGGCAATCAAAAAGAATGAAATCTTGCCATTTGCAACTACGTGGATGGAACTGGAGGGTATTATGCTAAGTGAAATTAGTCAGAGAAAGACAAAAGTCTTATGACTTCACTCATATGAGGACTTTAAGAGACAAAACAGATGAACATAAGGGAAGGGAAACAAAAATAATATAAAAACAGGTGGGGGGGCAAAACAGAAGAGACTCATAAATATGGAGAACAAACTGAGGGTTACAGGAAGGGTTGTGGGAGGGGGATGGGCTAAATGGGTAAGGTGCATTGAGGAATCCACTTCTGAAATCATTGTTTCACTATATGCTTACTAATTTGGATGTAAATTTAAAAAAATAATAAAATAAAAAATAAGCAAAATAATCTGTTACTCTCGTAAGAGAAGACTAAAAGTTTGTTTTTTTAAAATGTGTGGGGTCACTGTGTTGTATATTCCTTCTGTGAATCAGTGATTGGTAACAAAGGTGTCTGATCTTTTCCACTCTAGATATCATTGTTGAACAAATATGAATGATCTGTACATCTGTGTTGTCCACTATGGTAACCACTAGCCACATGTGGCTATTTAACTTGAAATTAATTGGAAAAAAAATGTTTTAGTATTTATTTATTTTTGAGAGATAGGGTGTCAGTGGGAGATGGGCAAAGAGAGAAGGAGACACAGAATCCGAAGCAGGCTTGAACTCATGATGCACGAGATCATGACCTGAGCCAAAGTAGGACGCTTAACTGACTGAGCCACCCAGGCACCCCAAACTTGAAATTAATTTAAATGAAATAAAATTAAAACTTCAGTTCCTCAGTAGTACTAGCTACATTTCAACGGCTTAATAGCCACAGGCAGCCAGTGGCTACCGTATTGGATAACACACTAGAGAACATTTCCATCACTGCAGAAAGTTCTGTTGGACAGCACTGCTACAGATGGTTTATCATATGTCTAGCACTTGTGATTTTTATATTCATTCATGAAAAGTTTTGTTTAAAACCATTTTTAAAAATTCCTTCAATAACATTAAAAAATTTTGGGAACTTCTATCAACACACCATTGGTGACTGATCTTATCAAAGAATGGACACATGAAATGAAAATCTTTCTCACAAAGAACAGGATACTCATTGTGTCACAAAGCAATTGATAATATTTGTTTAGGAAGCTTAATGTGCTTTTTCATTTTTATTTCAGATGATCCTGTACATGCAGCTCCAACCACTTCTACACGTGTGTTTTATATCAGCGTGGGGGTTTGCTGTGCAGTAATATTTCTTGTAGCAATAATATTAGCTGTTTTGCACCTTCATAGTATGAAAAGAATTGAACTGGATGACAGGTATTATACCTATTTTGGGAAAGGAAAAAAATTAAAGCGGTTATCTGCATTTTCATGGGAGCCCACACAGCATGCACAGTGGTGCACAGGGAAAGGAGGGAGGGTGATCAGGTCTTGCCAAAAGAACAACTGTTGTCTTTGTGATTATTTATGTTTCTCTGATTTTATTTAAAAGATATTTTGAAGACAAATTATAGTTTATTAGTTTATGGGTAAGAAGTGGTGAGCACACTTTTATTCCCTTCCCCTTTGACATGACTCTATTCCACTCCTAGTACCTTTTTAAAATAGCCCTGTTTCTTCCTCCTAGTTCATCCCTCCATCATTGTCATATCCATCCATCTATCCATCCTTCCATCCTTCCATCCATCCATCCAGTAAATTTATTGAGAACCTGCTGTGCTTTAAACCGTTGGTTCTCAACCTGGTTGCACATTATAGTCATGGGTAAGCTTATAAAACATGGGTCCTACTTTCCAGAAATTCTGATGTAATTGGTCTGGGGTGGTGTTAGGGCATCAGTATTTTTCTTAAAGCTTCCTGGATGATTCTAAAGTGTAGCCTTGGAGATACACAGGGTTAGATATGCTGGGAATATTAAAAAAAATAATGATATACCTTGTAGCTTCAAGTATTTGTTTATCTTTGACAACCTATAATTATAGAAGTTTATAAATCTGGTGATTATGATATGTGTAGTATAGTGTGAGAATAGAAAAGGTACTTGTCCCAGCCTAGGTGGATCAGAGATGACAGGGACGACTTTATAGGTAGGATAGGGTAAGAGGTAAAGATGGAATGATAGGTTTATTTTCCCAGTACACAATTCTTGTTTTTCTCCTCAGTGATTCCCACTTGCTGACTGAAAGACTTCCAACTTCATGACTTGCCTTTCAAAGCCTTTCTTTCGGTGGAGAGGTATTTTCCAAACTTGTTGAACCTTTCTCTTTTTCCCTTACTGTACCCTTACTTATGCTGTAGTCAGATGATTACTTGTTCCACAGTTTTGCCCTATATTTGCCCTTTAGGACTTTAATTCATGCTTTCCTTTTGCCCACAGGGTTCCTAAACCTTGTTCTTTCTTCAGATTTCAATTCCATTGCCATCTCTTACATGAAGTCTTTTCTAAGCTTCCCAACTGCCCATTTCTCCCTCCTCTGTCTCTCTCTCCTGCTTTCTGCTTCTCCCTCTCTGTCTCTCTGTCTTTGGTGGCAGTTATTCTACTTTTTTCTCCAGTAATCATGTTTGTGTACTTGTCTCTGCTGCTAGACTATAAGCTTTTTCCAACTAGGGAGCAATATGTCTTCTTGATTACTGAATCCTCAGGCCTACACAGTGTTATACACACGGTGGGTAAGCATATGTGTGGCATAAACAACCAACACAACTTGGTTGGATTCAGTATCTGCCCCTAAGTACTCTTTGTCCCCTCTGTTTTACTTGCTTTATCTGAGTAGAGAAGGATGAGGAAGAAGGTAAGAATAGGAAGGGAAATACTTGGGAGATGTGTTTCAGAATAGGTTTTGTGTATATGGTGGTGTTAAAGTTAGCATTGGGGTTTATAGAGGAAGAAATGACATTTGGAAGCCTCTTGAGTGGAAGTAAGGTAACAGGGACATTTAGATAGGACTTTGAGAGGACATACACACAGTTAAAGGAGTCACTGAGGAACCTGGCATTTAGAAGTCTTGATACACACATTTTCCTTGAATGCTTACGTGCGTGCTAGGGCTGTGAACACACATAAGCCAGAATTGTGCAAAAACTTACAGATTCAATGGAGCATATACCTCAGCTTGCTAAAATATATATTAAATCAGTTACACTCATGTGTTAGGTGTTCTGGTTCTTTCCATTTTTGGGCAAAGGTTTCCAGACATTGTCTGAATAAAAGCAACTTACATTATCACTTAGTTTCAGAGCGTAACCTAGTGGTTAAGAGCCAAACAAAGCATCTCTGAATTCTCGCTGTTCTACTTACTAGCTTGATGGCTAGTAATGTACTCTTTGTAGGCGTTTCAAGAATTCTGAAGTGGTACAAGAGTGCCACCTACTGTTCAGTTACTGGAGAGAAACAAATGACCAGTAAATAATTTGGAGTTTGGCCACTTATTTAACTATGTTGGTTGCAGGTAATAGTTAGGTAATAGTTTCACATATATTATACAACTGGGGCCTCAAAAAACTCCTGGGAGATAGGTTTTCTTAATCCTATTTTATGGGTAAGTAAATTGAAGTCCTTTATTTTCCACTCTTTGGGGATGGTAACATTTCTCTTCCCTCCCCTGGACTTTCAACAACACTGATTTTTAGTCTGATCTTTGAGTAGTACCCAGAACTCCAAAAACAGGTGTCCTGTGGTTCCTTATCATTCTAATATTACTAATAATATTAGTAATAATAATAATTTCTAATAATTTGTAAGTGTATGTTTGAGGATAAGGCACTCTCCTAAAAGCTTTCTTTCTTTATTTTTCATATAATCCTTTTAGCAACCTTGTCAGGAGGTAGAATCAAACTCATTCTAAACATGAGGAATTCGAGGCTACAGAACCATTTGTTTGCCTGAGATCATACAGCTCGTAAATGGTGCTGGCAGTTTTGATTTTAAGGTTTATGTTCACTGTACTGCCCCCATACCCAAGGTTTATGGTCTTCATCTCTTCACTGTACTGCCCCATACCCACTACATGTGTAGACTCACAGAGATCAGTTCTTGAGTAGCAACTTTTTAAAAACATTTTTTTAATGTTTTTATTTATTTTTGAGACAGAGAGCATAAGCAGGGGAGGGGCAGAGAGAGAGGGAGACACAGAATCCGAAGCAGGCTCCAGGCTCTGAGCTGTCAGCACAGAGCCTGACGCGGGGCCAGAACTCACAAACCGTGAGATCATGACCTGAGCTGAAGTCGAACGCTTAACCGACTGAGCCGCCCAGGCACCCTGATTGAGTAGCAACTTTTTGTCATTATTTTTTTCAATCACCAGGTTTTGAAAATACAGAGCTATTGTGTGGGGCCTGGTCAGTTCAAAGATACTTCATATTTAGGAAAGTTGGGAGCCTTTGGACCCTGCTGATCCTACAGCTAAGGAAGGCATGAAAAGCCTATCCTGACAGTTTGGTATGACTTCCTGCCATCTGAGTTCAGTTTTTATGTTAAATTTCTATCCCTCACCCGTCTACTACAGAATTCAAGGGCTGAGGTATTGAAACTGAAATGTGCCCAAGGGTAACCTGGGGTAAGGTTTTTACCCACAGAAAAGACAAAAGCACATACTTAACGAGGTATTAATTTGTAAAATCTTGAGTATAGGGTTAACAGTTACTTGAGCCTGTCCTTTTCTGGATCTCTTATATTGTTTAAAGGATATGGTATAATGGAATGCTTCAAATACTAGAAAATTGTAATAAGTTCCAGAAATTCTAAAAAGGTGGGATTGATTTGAACCAGAGATGATACCCCTTAAAAAGCCTTGGGCATATTGGCATATTTGATTTGCTTTTATATCCTTTATTAGGCCATTTGATTTTGGACCACTAGTAAAAGAGGCCTGTCATTCTACTCCTCTTTTTCTTTTTTTTTTTTTTTAAAGCAATTTAATTGGATGACATGGGCTCTTTTCCTAAGAGATGACCCATAGATCCCTAACATATCATATCTCTGTGTTAGGTTAAGGACTGCTGTCTATGGTGTCTAAGGACTAATACCTGCATTTCTGAATGATTGATAAGATGAACCTGCTTAACGATTGTGAGGATAGAAAGGAAAGAAGAAGTGGCTCTATATTATGAGATTAAAATTTCAATATGGCATGTTTGTGATGGAGATCCATGCATTATTGTGATTGCCATCAGGATTTTAGGCTGGTTATATGGGTTGGATGCGTTTTTGCATACATAGAAAAAGGAGGGTTTTCACTGAAGCTGACTTACCAAATATTTCTCTTTTAAAACTTGTTTGCAGCATCAGTGCCAGCAGTAGTTCCCAAGGGCTGTCTCAGCCATCTACCCAGACGACTCAATATCTGAGAGCTGACACACCCAACAATGCAACTCCTATCACCAGTAAGAGTTAATTTAATTCTAAAGATGATTTACTATTGCTGTCTGTGGTCTGTCTGCCAGTGGTTCCTGTGTGCTTGGTTATTTGTGGGGCATGTGTACCATCCCATGTACATAGTATCTAACATGCGCAGAATTAGGCTTGATCTTCAACTTCTGCTTTCTAGAGCATTGAGTGAAACATTCTAAAATTGGAATACTAAAAATATAATTTAAGTTCAGTTGCTAGAATTAATTTTGGGGAGATTTCCATAGGTTAATTACATTAAAAGGGATACTGAATCACTTCTGTAGAAATTCAGAAGAAATATTTTCAGGTAGTTAGATAGAATAAGCCATTGAGCTGTATGAAGATGAGTCTTAGATTTTAATGAATTGTGTGATAATCTGAAGGGCAGTGGTAGGGATTTTACATTGTTTTTTAATCATGATAGAATAACTTCCTATCCTGTAGGATAGCTGCCATTAGAATTGAGAACATGAAATCTGATTTCCCCCCTTTTTTTAAACAGGATTTTGATAAAAGTTTTTACACTGTAACATGTTGATGTTGGGGGAAAATAATCATTCTTAGAATATAATTTAGACGCAATGAGGAATGAGTCTCCACACAAATAGAAAACAACATAATCCTCAGGATAAACAGTGGACCATAAATCAGGGCTCAACTCAGTAGTGCTATTGATTAATTAGGTCTTACAGGCAGTTAGCTGGTATCTTCCTTGGACTGGCATTTACTATCTGTTCTTCATCCAGTGCCCTGTTGTGGTCTTCCAGTACTGTTTCCCATTAAAAAGAACCAGGATTCTTTGGGGAAATGGAGAATTTCAGGACTAGGTCAGGAATGGGCAAGATAAACCTGGGGCAGGTTGAAATGGGACATTTGAGCATCAAAAAGAATGACTGCAGTGGATGGAAACAATGTGTAAAAATCCTTGAGTTTGTGATGATAGTTATTGAAGAAGTTAATCATTATGAGAAGTAACTAAGGCACCAAAAATCCCTCTTTCTGATGACTGGCTATATGAACTGTATTTCAGAGTAAGCAGATAGTGCTGGTTGATGAGGGAAAATGCTTCTTTTTTTTTTTTTTTTTTTTTTAACGTTTATTTATTTTTGAGACAGAGACAGACCATGAACAGGGGAGGGTCAGAGAGAGAGGGAGACACAGAATCTGAAACAGGCTCCAGGCTCTGAGCTGTCAGCACAGAGCCCGACGCGGGGCACGAACCCACGGACCGCGAGATCATGACCTGAGCCGAAGTCGGCCGCTTAACCGACTGAGCCACCCAGGCGCCCCGAAAATGCTTCTTTACAGAAGAATCCTAGCTAATAAATGTGGAAGGAATGATAGAATTAGAAAATCATAATTATAACCTCTGTTAAAATAATTGATTCAGAAAAAGACCATCAGTGTTAAAACCCTGTCAACAAAGGGAAATGGGATCATTTGAGGGAGCAGACTGTCATGGTGTGACTCCTCTAATGAAACTTTGCATCACGGAAAGTAGGACAACTAGATATTTTGTACTCCCACATGTGATATACCACCCATGGAGTATTTTTTGTCTCCCTTCCCCACTCCTAAGAGGTAACCTGCACCTAATTATGGCTGTGGAACTGATTGGCAGTTTACAAGAAATACAGGGATCAAAGAACAAGTTAAATGATACTTGAAGAAGCAGATGCTGAACATTCTTCAGGATAACAGAACTGGTTTCTTTAATAAGAGTGGCAAGAAAAAGAAAAGGGGGAAAGAGTGAATGCTCAAGATTAAATGAAATTTTAAAGAAATCATCAGTAGTTACCATCACCGCCAATGAAAGAAAGAATTATATGCTCTTCAGAAAACACAATGATAGATATGAAAGTAGTCCAGACTATTCAGAAGAAACACATCATTGATTTTAATGTTTAAATGTCAAGATTTGCTCAGTAGAGTCAATTCTTGATTGTGGCTATAACCTTAAAGAGATAGAGATTCAATTATTATATGCTAAAAGCAAAATGCTTTTTAAAAGTCACTTGAGGGGCACCTGGGTGGCTCAGTTGGTTAAGTGTCCGACTTCAGCTCAGGTCATGATCTCACAGTCTGTGAGTTCGAGCCCCACATCAGGCTCTGTGCTGACAGTTCAGAGCCTGGAGCCTGCTTCAGATTCTGTGTCTCCCTCTCTCTCTGACCCTTCCCTGCTTATGCTCTGTCTCTCTCTGTCTCAAAAATAAATAAAAACATTAAAAAAAAAGTCACTTGAAATTACTTATTAAAAATATTTTTAGTTACTATTGATAAGAAATGTACTTATTTTTGTGGACATTATCTTGAGATAGATGATTCATTTATTATGTAGGGCAAAAACAAACATTTTTTTAAAAATCCAGTGGAAATCCACTTGTATATAAATAAAAGAAAGACAAAGAGAGGAGTAAAAAAAATATTTGGAGACACAATGGCCAAGAATTTTCTAAAATAACAAAACAACAGACCATAGATCTAAGAAACTCTGAGAACTCCAGGTACGATTAAACATATACAAATACAGATACTCACATATCTATGTGTATCCTGTTCAAACTGCTGATCAGTAGAATCAGGTGTATCAGTAGAATCAGTAGAATCAGCCTAATCCTTTGGTTACAGAACTCTCCAAGCCTTTCGTCTAGATCTTGTAGCAACAATTGATGACCATTGTCTAGGTCTTTTATCTCTCCAGGGAGTTTTTTACCATGTGTTTACCAAAGCGCATAAATCTTAGAGAAGCCATTCCGGTTTCTACTTGCTAACACTGAATCTTCCTTCTATTCTAACATTTTTTTCTTGGAATGAAAATTTTAAGTTATAGCTAGAAATTTTATTTTTGCTGTCAGTAAGAATGAGTGGGAAAATAGCGCAGCTGAAAAACAGATGTATCTCACAATGATACAACTAGGCTGTATAAGCATGAGATTGATTAAATCAACCAGATGTTTTGTTCGAAAAGATAGTCTTTTCATTTGAAAAGTTGTTTTGTTAGGAGATTATATTAGAAAATCTTTTGGGGAAAAGAACAGTCCATAAACGGGAATAAGTTAAATTCTGTGAGTCAAGGGTGCCTGGGTGGATCAGTCAGTTGAGCATCCAACTCTTATTTTGGCTCAGGTCATGATCCTAGGTTTGTGAGATCGAGCCCCATGTCAAGCTCCACATTCGTGCCGAGCATAGATTCTGCTTAAGATCTTCTCTCTCTCCTTCTGCCCCTCTCTACCACTTGTGCTCGCTCTCCCTCTCTCTCTCTCTCTCTCTCAAATGAAATAAATAAAAATAAATAAAAAAAAAAGGGGTGCCTAGGGTGCCTCTGTTAAATGTCCAACTCTTAATCTTGGTTCAGGTCATGATCTCAGGGTTTGTGAGATCGAGCCCCACAATGGGCTGTGCACTGACAGCACAAGCCCGCTTGGGATTCTCTCTCCTTTCTGTGCCTCTCCCCATCCCCTGCACACTATAAACAAACAAATAAATATTCTGTGAGTCAAAGCTTATTTCATTTGGGTGGAAGGCAGTTGAAGTGGTGGTAATGGTAATACTCATTTTAGTGTTTCTTGTCTTAATTATGCATTTTAAGGATTTGGGATAGGTAGAAAGTGTTTCTTTAAAATTCTGTGTGGCCTTGCAGCACCTGGGTGGCTCAGTTGGTTGAGTGTCTCACTGTGATTTCACAGTTCATGGGTTCAAGCCCCACGTCGGGCCCTGTGCTGACAACTCAGAGCCTGGAGCCTGCTTCAGATTCTGTGTCTCCTTGTCTCTCTACCTCTCCCCCTTTTGTGTGCGTGCACGCACACTTTCTTTCTCAAAAATAAACAAACATTGAAGAATAATTTTGTGTGACCTTCATAAGTAATTCTCCCTGTTCATGTGTGTGCCTTTCTCTTTTTTTTTTTTTTAACGTTTATTTATTTTTTGAGACAGAGCATGAATGGGGGAGGGTCAGAGAGAGAGAGGAAGACACAGGATCTCAAACAGGCTCCAGGCTCTGAGCTGTCAGCACAGAGCCTGATGCGGGGCTCGAACTCACGGACCGTGAGATCGTGACCTGAGCCGAAGTTGGGCACTTAACTGGCTGAGCCACCCAGGCGACCCCCATTTTGTGATTCGTACATTTATTCATTCCTGTGACTTGAGTCCTGAGTTTGAACTGTATTAGTTGACCCTGATGGCACAATAAGGGTATTTATATTTCTTGGTCTGGCTTTGTTGGCTCCTCAGGTTATCCTACCTTGCGAATAGAGAAGAACGACCTGAGAAGTGTCACTCTTTTGGAGGCCAAAGCTAAGGTGAAGGATATAGCAATATCCAGGGAGAGGATAACTTTAAAAGATGTACTCCAAGAAGGTATTTATTTTCTTAAAATCGTTTCTCAAGCAAGATTTAATGTTAACACTATAAAATTTTTTTTATTTCAGATTGTAAGAATTTCATGTCTTTGTGTTTAAGGATAGAAGTATACAATTTATTTCCTTTCTAAAACTGATTTTTATTTTCTCTTTCTTTAGATCTTTAATTTGCCGTAATACAGCTTTGGTGTAAATCTTGATTTTTCAGTACATTAAAGCATTAATGTACTTACCACTGTACTTATGTATTAAATGTATTATGAATTAAGACATAATGTACTTATGTATTAAATATGTATAGAAATATACATATTTGTATATATTAGCATTTAAATACTACCTTTAAATATATTTTCTGTTCTTGTTTAAAGATGATCACTACCTAGCAAGCCTGTTTCAAATATTCTAAGTAATTTTCTCTGTGACAGATAGTATGGGGATGGAGCAGATGGAACAAGCATGGGCTTTGGAGTCACACCCAACTTCCATCCCCGTCCCATGATTTGTCACCTGTGTGACCTTGGAGAACTCATTTAATATCTTCCACGTCGTTTCCTTTTCTGTAAATTTGCACTGCATTGTCTGCACTTGGACTAGTAGTGAAGATTAGATGAAATGATGTACATTAAATGAACTTACGCATAATAGATGTTTGGTAGATTTTTGTACCCTTCCCTTTCCCACCTGTTGGTCCTTGTTTTCTTTCTTGAATTTTAGGGTATTGATTGAGGAGATGCTGAATGAGGACCAAAATTAATAATAAAGTACTTCATTGAGTTGAGTCCCTCAAGTTATTAAAGAGAGAATTACCTTTTCCCCCTTCCACAATCCAGTTTGTAGTGTTTTGAATGCATATGAGTCATTCTGAATTCATCTCTTGGTTGAGATGCTTATAGGTCAATCACAGCTGAGAGGTTTGAACTGTCCCCAGTGACAAGTAGTAATTAAAAGAAGCAAAATTTTTGGTCTGTTTTTGAATGTATGAGGGGAGTCCATTGTTCTCTTTTGTTATTGTTCTGAAGCTAAGCTTAGAAACTCATAAATGCCTCTAATGGATACCCCATTACTGAGTTCCACTGTTCCTGGCTATATCGTTAGTTTATTTAGGATGATTCAGAAAGGATTCTCATATATTTAGTTTAAATATGGTATTTCTAAAAGCAAGTTAAAGGGTGCCTGGGTGACTCGGTTAAGTGTCTGACTTTTGGTTTCTGCTCAGGTCATAATCTCATGGTTTGTGAGATAGAGCCCTGTGCTCTCAGTGCGGAGCCTGCTTGGGATTTTCTCTCTCCCTGTCTCTCTGTCCCTCCCTGCTTGTGTGTGTGTGTGTGTGTGTGTGTGTGTGTGTGTGTGTGTGTGTGTATTTATCAAAAAATAAATAAACTTAAAAAAAACAAAAGCAAGTTAAAATATTTCATAGTTACAAAGAATTTCTAATAGTCATTAAAAAACCAAAGATTTAGGTGAGAATAATGCTGCTGATCACATATGTCCTTGTTATGTTTAAGTTATATTGTGCCAGGAAGTTTTGTACTTATAGTTTTATGAAGGTTATCTTATGATGATCTCATTAATTATTATTTTTCCTTCTAGGTACTTTTGGGCGTATTTTCCATGGGATTTTAGTAGATGAAAAAGATCCAAATAAAGAAAAACAAGCATTTGTAAAAACAGTTAAAGGTAGGGTTTTTTTCCATACTGTTACCAGAATGTTTCCCTAAGGTAGATCATGCCAGTGAGATTCTGTCTCAGATTCTGAGTCTGCACCAGACCTTTAAGTCAGTTCATGTGAGTTTAGTTCATATGAGGCTAACTTTTGAGGATATTTGGCTTGTTTTCATAAGGTATAGAAAAAAAGGTCTAATAATTTAAGATGTTAAACACTTACTAGGTATTACTTGAGCTTGTAGTTAAATTACATCTATTTGACTTCATTGTTCCTATATGTACTATTGTGTTTTTCTTAGGTAAAAGTTGTTTCTTTCCTCTTAAAAACAGTTACTTATTTTTCCTCCTCCCCACTCCCAATACTGCTGTCTACAAAGAATAAAAAACACCCTGTCCCCCCTCCTCCACCCCAGACTCATAGTACCTTACATGAATAGGCTTGTTTATCTTCCTCCCACTTCCCTGCCTTTTTTTTTTTTTTTTTTTTTTTTTTTTTTGCTATTATATGTAATGCTGCAGAAAATATCCATGTGTGTATGTATCCTTCTTGGCTTAGTTTTTTTATAGGTATAGCCATAGTTGACATTGTTGCCCCAAGAGGTATTTGCATTTAAAATTTAGATAGATGTTGTCAGATTGTTTTCTAAAGGGTATATCACACTAGTTAATGTTATCATGAACAGAATATCTATTTTCACATATTCTTTTGGAGCAATATGATGCCTAATTTTTCACTTTATAATTGATATTTGTAAAAGCTTAAATTTTAGTTAAATTTGGTCATTTTAAGAAAAAGAAAAATGTAATTTATAGGGTGTTTAATGTCTGACAGTGTCTGATATGGACTGAGATGACAAGATGTTAATTTTGAAAAAACAAATAATAGCATTTTGATGCAGAAATTGAGGAAAAAATTAAATTCCGTTTTATATGTAAGAGGTGACATTTTATGAAGTTTTCAAAGTTAATTTATAAAAACTTATGTTTCTAAATCTACTTAAATGAATTGATGGAAAAGTATGAAGGATTTATGTTGTTTCTAAAAAGTTGTACTAACCTTAAAAATAAGGGTAATTTGATTTCTTTTAATTTAGCAAAATTGCTTGCTTAACACACACTTGCCATTCACGCATTGTTTTCTAAACGGTTTAACTTATTATACTGTTCAGTATATATTTTATCTACCTACCTCTCCTAGCCCCAAAGCATTTATAAAGGTTAATATGTAAGTTTGGTCCGTTAGGTTTTCTGACTAGGTTTGAAAGATATTTTACATATTAGCATTTATAAATATAGAATTTGAACCCTTAGTTTAATACTGTTGACTTTTGTTACATTTTCCCCCATTTTTAAGGAAACATTCCTCTGTGATTTTAATATTTCTTCTGGAGTTTATAAATCTGTGGTTAGTTTACAACTAGGCTGTCACTAATTTGTTCTGAATGAATCTTGAATTAGCAAAAGAACTTTCTATGTATAATTGGGTTGACTTAGGGTTGGAAAGGAGAAAAAAAGGAAATAATAGTGATAAGAAAACACAATGCAGATTCTGGGACTGTTTCACAAGATAAGATTTCTCCTTCCGGATACACTTGAAGTTGTAGTCAATTGGTTGTTTCTACGCCTTAACCACTGTGATTGTAATGTTCCTTCTGAGCTAGATGGAAACAAGAGAAAGCACAGTGAGTCCTTAGCCAAGATATAGTTACGGTTTGCATGAGAAACAAAGAGGAAGTGCATTGACCACAGTCGTTGGTGCAGAATTGTTAGATAGCTCCATATGACCTGGAGTATGGTCTGGTATCTTGAGATTTATTTTTTTGGAATTTTTTTTTAATTGAAGCTATGAAAATCTGGCAAATTTCTTTCACAAATCTGTATGCTTTATTACTTGCCACACAATTAGAAATGTAGCTTAAAATGTAAAAAATAATTTTTTAAAAGATTATTGACCTTTACCTTTAGACATAAGCAAGAAATTAGAATTTGGCTTCATAAAAAATTTGTAAATTTGCACAGAGACTTAATAGACATTCCAGTCTATTATTTATGTTGTTTCTAAAAAGTTGTACTAACCTTAAAAATAACAATAATGTTATTATATATGTATATTATATATAAAACACAAGTTGTGTGTGTGTGTGTGTATAATGTATAAGAAAGAAATTTCCAGAGATTGAAATTAAGAATCTGAATCTCATACAGTGAATATTGTGAAATTGAATTCCATGAAGTAAATTAATTAATTTGAGGTTATTGGTGTTGGGTTCTTATTTTGTTTTATAGTTGCTACTACTTTGCAATTTGGAAATAAGTTTTTTTTAATCATTTGTTCTTCTTGTAACTTGGAATGTAAATATTTTATAGTATTCTTTTCAAATGTGCACATCTTAAAATCTTTCAGTATTTAAAATTAAAAGACTTGGACTAGACTGGGAAGGGAATCCAGGAAAATGGTTTTTTCTTACTAAATGGATAAAATTATTTTTTCTCCAACTCCAACTGTTCTTAGATCATCATCTAGTTCAAGTGTCCCTTGCTTAATAGAGTATGCTTATTAAAGTTAATAATTTGAAGAAAATTAGGCATAAAATAACATGTCCTGAAATTGACTTTTATTTGGATCTTCATGCCAGTTGACAGGAAGGTCACCACTTATTAACTGGGTGCAGATTTCCAAATATTACTAGATTTCAATCTGAAAAAGACCCCAACAGTCCCCAAATCGTCCTGATCGTAATTTGATTAAAATTTATTTAGATTACAGAAAAAGAAATAAAGGCACATTCTGCCATTCCTAGATGATCCTAAATTTTGAGCAGTTTTTAGACAACTAGAGTTTATTCTGGCAGACATCAGTGTGATGCACGTTTTCCAAAGAAGTACCAAGTGTTTCAAGCCCTTGGCTTTTCGTCCGCCCATTTTACATTCCTACAAAGGTTTAAACTAAGTGAAGCTGTCTGGAAAAGTGGACACTACTAGCAAGTTGTGGAAGAGGGAGTGATTCCACTAGTTAGTCTTGGAAGAAAATGAAGTTTGTGATTGCTTAGCTTTGACAGTTGCACTTTTAAGGAGTAAATGTGACACATACTCATAGTACTTGACTTCAGTGATCTGGATTTTACTCTTGGTTTGGCATTTTACTATGTAGGGCTGGGATGTGAATCTTGGCTTTGCCAGTCTTTGTATCTTTTTCTCCCTCTTGTTGCGTTGATCAGAAGCTTTGCAAGTTACTACTATTTTTACTGTTGACATACAAATTAGTTATTGGTTTCTTTGAAAGTGTTGTTGTTGTTATTATTTTTAGGGAGTGCTAGCAGGGGAGGGGGCAGATGCAGAAAGAGAGAGGGAATCCTAAGCAGGCTCCATGGTCAGCACGGAGCCTGACGCAGGGCTTGATCCTACGACCCTGGGATCACGACCTGAGCTGAAATCAAGAGTTGGACACTCAACCGATTAAGCCACCCAGGTGCCCTTGAAAGTGTTTTTAAAGATACACTATACTCAGGGTGCCTGGGTGGCTCAGTCAGTTGAGTGTCCGTCCGACTTTGGCTCAGGTCATGATCTCATGGCTCTTAAGTTCAAGTCCCGTGTTGGGCTCTGACAGCTCAGAGCCTGGAGCCTGCTTCGGATTCTGTGTCTCCTTCTCTGTCTCTGCCCCTCTTCCACTCGCTCTGTCTCTTTCTCAAAAATAAAAACATTAAAAATAAATAAGTAAATAAAAGGTACACTATACTCATAATTTTGTTTTTGATATCTATAGGCCAGTTTTTTTTTTAATTTTATTTTTTATTTTTTAAAATTTACATCCAAATTAGTTAGCATATAGTGCAACAATGATTTCAGGAATAGATTCCTTAGTGCCCCTTACCCAGTTAACCCATTCCCCTCTCCCACAACCCCTCCTGTAACCCTCAGTTTGTTCTCCATATTTATGAGTCTCTTCTGCTTTGTCCCCGTCCCTGTTTTTATATTATTTTTATTTCCCTTCCCTTATGTTCATCTGTTTTGTCTCTTAAAGTCCTCATATGGGTGAAGTCATATGATTTTTGTCCTTCTCTGACTAATTTCACTTAACATAATACCCTCCAGTTCCATCCATGTAGTTGCAAATGGCAAGATTTCATTCTTTTTGATTGCTGAGTAATATTCCATTGTATATATATACAACACATCTTTATCCATTCATCCATGGGTGGACATTTGGGCTCTTTCCATACTTTGGCTATTGTCGCTAGTGCTGCTATAAACATGGGGGTACATGTGTCCCTTTGAAGCGGCATACCTGTATCCCTTGGATAAATACCTAGTAGTGCAATTGCTGGGTTGTAGGGTAGTTCTGTTTTTAGTTTTTTGAGGAACCTCCATACTGTTTTCCAGAGCGGCTGCACCAGCTTGCATTCCCATCTTCAGGCTGGTTTTTAAAAAACTGAAACTCATTTCCAATTTTATAATGAAAATATGCCATTCACTTAATGGAAATGTTCTTTTTAAATAGTGGAGAATATCCTCATTATTAAAGTAGTGGCCCCCGTAAGATGAAGAATGCTTATAGATTTGTGCAGATATTTGCTGACTTAAAATTCCTTTGGAGGCGCAAACTAAAGATACTAGTAAATTGCATTATTGTGTTTTGTGTTTCAAAAACATTGAACTAAAAGCCAATTATAGTTCTGTTACTTTGGACCAAAAACAGTAAGTTCAGATGCTAAAAATAAATGGAATAATCATACTAGTTTTGGGTATTATATGATAATTACATTTTTTTCTATTAATTTAATATCAGTTCTTTTTGTTTGCTAGCTTTTAACTCAGATAGGTAAGAAGAAAATAAAAGGGCCACAATCTCCCTTCAGAACCCCTGTGGTCATTTTTTTTTATAGTTTTATGTTTCTAAGGTTTGAACATGTAAATTGAAGAGAAAGGTGCAAAATTTAAATTCTCCCATCTCTAAACCTAACCATCATTAACAATTTATTATGATTCTCTTCATGAGTAAGAAAAAAAATGTGTCCAGATGTATCTAATTTTTCAAATAATTTGTTTTTAAAACATAACTGGTCACTCAAACAATTTGTCACCTTGGTTTTAAAATTTAATATTTCTTGGAGATCTTCTGTCATACATAGAGACTTAAATCTTATTTTTTAAAAGTAATTGCATAGTATCCCATTGTGCTAATTTAACTGATTCTCTTTTGATGGGCACTTTGGGTTGTTTTGAATTTTTTGCTATTACAAGTGAATAATATTCTTGTTACATTATATGTAGATGAACTTTTGTGACTATATCTGTAGATTATGCTCTTAATAGTGGGCTGATGATGTAGAGTATATGTATTTTTACACTTTGTTGGGTATTGCTTCCCTCACTTTCCCAAGATGCTATTGATGAACCTGTTTCATCACACTCCTGCCCAAACTGGCAGGTAGCTGATTGTTTTTGTCCCACTCTGACCAAGAAAATGATACTTCTTAATTTAGTTTGTTTGTCTTTACAGAAAGGTGAGGCTAAAAGTCATTTTGTAATTTTTTTTGTCATTTGTGTTGCTTTTTTTCAGTAAAGTTTATGCTTTTATCTTTTGACTCTTTAAATTTTTTTCTTATTGGTTTGTAGGAGTTCTTTAAAGAAGGGAAAAAATGAAATTAGCCCTTTATGTATATTTTTCCAGCCTGCTACTACTTTCTTTACTTTTTTTATGGAACCTTACTTAATTTCTAATTTTTACATACTCAAATTTATTCTTCCTGGCTTCTGTTAATGTTCATCTATTAAATTAAACACTGCCTGTTGCAATAGAATTTTGTAATATTTTGTAAAGATAATAGAAATAGGCTAGACCTATGTAGATTTACCTGTATCTTATAATGAAAATTCATCCTATAGTTTGAGATAAATTTTTGCTAATAGCAGAATAGGTCTTTTCACATATATAGTGTTAACATCCATGACAATGTCCTTTTCTTTATATAGATCAAGCTTCTGAAATTCAGGTGACAATGATGCTCACTGAAAGTTGTAAGCTACGAGGTCTTCATCACAGGTGAGAGGAAAACTACCCAGCATTTAAATGTTAAGCATGGTAACATTGTATACTACATTTTTATTTAAGAAAGTTGTGACATGTTCTGAATTGAAAGCTTTTTGGAATGCCCTTATTTTTTAAATAGAATATCAGTGAAAAAAATTAAAAAATGCAATAGATTCTAAGGAAGAAAAGAAAACATAGCTGGATAAAACATAGCTAAACTTTTTTTTTTTTTAATTTTTTTTTTCAACGTTTTTTTATTTATTTTTGGGACGGAGAGAGACAGAGCATGAACAGGGGAGGGGCAGAGAGAGAGGGAGACACAGAATCGGAAACAGGCTCCAGGCTCCGAGCCATCAGCCCAGAGCCTGATGCAGGGCTCGAACTCACGGACCGCGAGATCGTGACCTGGCTGAAGTCGGACGCTTAACTGACTGCGCCACCCAGGCGCCCCACGTAGCTAAACTTTTGAGAAAGGGAGTTTTTACATATTGTGTGCATATTATTCTTTAAAAATTAGGATAGTGATATATATCTGCTATACTCTCTGTCAAAAATAAATAAACATTAAAAAAAATTAAAAAAAAAGGCGCCAGGGTGGCTCAGTCGGTTAAGCATATGACTTTGGCTCAGGTCATGATCTCATGGTCTGTGAGTTCAAGCCCTGTTTCTAGCTCTGTGATGACAGTTCGAAGCCTGGAGCCTCCTTCAGATTCTGTGTCTCCCTCTCTCTCTTCCCCTCCTCCATTCATGCTCTGTCTCTTTCTCTGTCAAAAATAAATAAACATTAAAAATTTTTTTTTTTTTTTAAATATCTGCTATGGCGGGTGCCTAGGTGGCTCAGTCGGTCAAGCATCCAACTATTGGTTTTGTCTCATGGGTTCTCACAGTTTGTGAGTTCAAGCCCCTACATTGGGCTTCAAGCTGACAGTACGGAGCCTGCTTGGGATTCTCTCCCTCTCTTGCTCATTCTCTGTCTCTCAAAATAAATAAATAAAAACTTGAAAAAAAATATTTAAAAAATACCTGCTATGAAATTCTTTTTTTTTTTTTTTTTTCAACGTTTTTATTTATTTTTGGGACAGAGAGAGACAGAGCATGAACGGGGGAGGGGCAGAGAGAGAGGGAGACACAGAATCGGAAACAGGCTCCAGGCTCCGAGCCATCAGCCCAGAGCCTGACGCGGGGCTCGAACTCACGGACTGTGAGATCGTGACCTGGCTGAAGTCGGACGCTTAACCGACTGCGCCACCCAGGCGCCCCTGCTATGAAATTCTTTAACATAGAATACCAGAGATAAGAATAATAAACACCAGTAATCCCATCTCCTAAATTTAGTGAAAGTTAACATTTTACCACCTTTGTTTGGTGTATATAAATGTCTATTATCTACCTAGATGATACATAGATATTTAGGAGTGTAGAAATATTTAAAAAAAAATTTTTTTTAACTTTTTTAACGTTTATTTATTTTTGGGACAGAGAGAGACAGAGCATGAACGGGGGAGGGGCAGAGAGAGAGGGAGACACAGAATCGGAAACAGGCTCCAGGCTCTGAGCCATCAGCCCAGAGCCTGACGCGGGGCTCGAACTCACGGACCACGAGATCGCGACCTGGCTGAAGTCGGACGCTTAACCAACTGCGCCACCCAGGCGCCCCAGGAGTGTAGAAATATTTTAAAGTAAACTAGACATCTCAGCACTTAAATTCATTTCCAGCCTGTAATTCCCCTCCCCCCATGAAGATTTTTTTTAAAAATATTTACTTATTGAGAGAGAGAGAACAAGTGGGGGAGGGGCAGAGAGAGAGGGAGGGAGAATCCAAGCAGGCTCCGCGCTGTCAGCACAGAACCCAGTGTGGGGCTGAACCTCACGAACCGTGAGATGACCCAAGCTGAAAATCAAGAGTCAAATGCTTAATGACTGAACCACCCAGGTGCTCCGAAGATGTTTTAATATAATCATAATACCATTATTATCTTCAACAAGGTTAACAGGCTTCTTAATATAACAGAGCAATGTATCTAACTTTTTATGTAAGTAGCTATGAATTCATATCTACATTTAAAAAAGATTTGGAGCAGTTCAGTGAATGGTTGACCACGATCTTGTCATTAGGTCATAGTATGGTTTTTAAGAAATACTTGTAGTTCTGTATGAAGAACTTAAAAAAAAAAAAACTCATATCAGTCCTCTTACAGAGCTATAACAAAAGCTCTATCTTCTGAAACAAAAAGGACTTAAATATTGTATCTCAACATGCTGCAGTATCAGTATTGGGGCAAGGTTTTTAAAAAGAAAAATAACTACATAGAGTCAGCTTAATTTGTATGCCTATTCCAGATTTGGTTGCATATGTTTAAAAAAATGGGTCAGTGACCATCCCTGTTGGAAGATATGTATGGACTTCTGGGGAAACACACACACACACATGCACACACACAAGTGATGCATGCAAAAGGCATCATGCATTTTAATTTCTTTGTACTTTGAGCAGTTACTTGAGTTCTGCCAAAAAATAAGATGACTATGCAGAGTTTTATTTTTGAGTTTCATTTATACTTTGGTTCCTATTTGAAAGAATTTGAGAACCTAAAAAGAAGGCAGCAGTAGTGAGAGCAGTAAAATGGTAATGAAAGTTGAGTTTTATGGCTTTGTGATGGTGGGGGAGAAAACAAATAAGCCAACAATAAGGATACAAATATTTTTGCTGTGATTGAACATAAAACATCTTTTAGTTTCTGGGGAAACATTAAAAGTTGATAAATCTCAGTATTAGAAGGGAAAGAAACAAATGTTCTTTGGGGGAGGAAAAAAGTTTTCCTAGTTTCAAATTCTCAAGTAGATGTCACATTAGGCTTATCATACTTGGGGCATTGATTAATATAATGAACAGATATACTTTTTAGTTTCATTGAGCATAAAAAAGCCCAGGGTGTTTGAAAAAATTGGACATACAGTAATGGTCGGACTGAAGATGTCCCATTGAAGGGTTAAAGTCAAGTGATTGAAGAATGTTACCTTCCCTTGGTCTGATTCAGTCCAAGTATAGAACGTATTTACAGAGGAATGCATGGATAACGTTCCTGAGATTATATTTTATAAAAAATACACTTTGTTTCCTTTGAGTAACAAAACAATTACTGGATAATGGTCATTTAGAAATGTCCTTCTTGACCTGATTGGAAGTGCTTGATGTTCTATTCTGCTGACTCTGAGAGGAAGAGCCAAAAGTGTTTAATACTAGTATGTAATGTCAACCTAGTATTTAGGTACCTACCTAGTATTCTTACCCTGATAAAAGGTCTGTACACTTCACAGAAGTGGGAAACAGGGATAAATGTAGACAAAGCCAAGATTTTCCCAAGAAGCAGTTTTATATCCACTGTAGCCTAGGTGCTTTGGCTGAATAACGTTCAGAGCAAGTATATGCAGCATTTCTCATGTGGCTTTAGCCTGTACGGTTTTCCAGCATCCTATCAGGATGAATTAGCAGCCCAGGACACCTTAGGTGATGGAATGCCACATGCTGAATAGGGCTCATACTGGACATTCAGCGATTGGGGAAAGTCTTCTAAAGGCAGATTGTCTAGTTTGGTCATGGCTAATTGTTCTTCCTGGCTGTAGAGTAATACCAGGACTCCTAGTTTTTAATGAGTATCATGGGTACGTCTGTGCATTTATTTGTTCATTCTCTTATTCTAATTCATTTAGCACCAGTTTTGTACTTGGAACTCTGCTAGGCCTGAGGGACAAAAATGAACTAATGATCTTCAGTGTTCATATTGTACAACTTATCAAGCCAACAAAATACACTTAGTAAGAAATGACACCTCATTTCAGAATTTAACTTTTTAAAACTGGTTGTGGTACGCAATTCCACATGCAAAGCATGTTTACTTCATGTTTTAACATTCCAAGAATAAGAATTGTAAAGTGTTGATATATTTTAAGTATTTTGAAATTCTTTTTATTCCTTTTTCTACTGGAATTTATGAGAATAATATTTACTGTAAATTGAAATAGCTGTATAAATAAAAAGATACCAATTTATTTTAATTACATCCGAAGTGCTTCATATTAAAGTACTCTTGAGTTATTTCTGTGTGCAGTTTGGCTCTCCATTGGCCTGAAGTTGCCTGGTGGTGACCTCACAATTAGTGCCTCCCGGCCCTCACTCTGCAGGCACGCTTGGCAAGACTGAGAACTGCGTGCAGTTCTTGTCTCATGTCCCCACAGAACCTTCCCTGTTTCTACCTTGTTCTTGCCTACAGCACCAGTTTCTACTCTCATCTGCTCTTCATCTAGGTCCCAGATCTTCCTTTTTATCCTCCTTTTCTTTATAAAATGGATAGAATGAAGGCCAGCCATTTGTACTTTAAAACATGTTCATGCAGGGGTGCCCAGGTGGTTCAGTTGGTTAAGTGTCTGACTTTGGCTCAGATTATGGCCTCACGGTTCGTGGGTTCGCGCTCCACGTGGGGCTCTGTGCTGACAGCTCAGAGCCTGGAGCCTGCTTCAGATTCTCTGTCTCCCTCTGTCTCTGCCCCTCCCCTGCTTGCGCTCTGTCTCTGTCTTTCAAAAATAAATAAAATATTTAAAAAAAAAAAAACAAAACATGTTCGTGCAACTTGTTACCTCTCCTAGAGGGCTTTTAGTCCCCTGGTGATAGAGCAAATGATTTGATCTCAAACAGCAAACTTACTGTGCCTGGATAAAATGCCTTTAACTGTGCTCAGTGAATTTCAGACCTGAGGAGAGGAGCAGAGAAATAATTTTGGGGATGCTAGATCAGGTAACTCTTCACATTACACCTCAAATCATTGTGTGCTCAGTTAAACCTGAATGCAAACCTGTTGTACTCATTTTAGTGTGCATGGGACTTGGTAAGAAAAGAGGCACTGTCACTTCCCGTGCATTCCTTCTTGCTCTCCCGGGAGGGAATATCCAGTGAGCCAGGGAAAAGCAAAGGGTTTTGGAACTGGATGAAGTTTTGAATTTTCTTCTCCATGCACTTGTTGTTTGTGCTTGGCAGATAACCTAACCTCTCTTTGCATGGGTTTCTTCACTCAACTGAGTGGGACTAATCATCACTGCCACTCTTAGGCTGTAATGGTAAGCAGAAGCTGTACTAGGAGTTTTTTTTGTGCAGGTCTACTAATCTCTTGAGTCCTCATTTTCTGCTGCTTAGGGGTCAGTGCTTTCCCTATTAGTAAGTCCTACATAGCAGTAGAGGAGTCCGCAGCTTTCACTTGTGCACCGTTGGGTCAGAGTTGTGTGACTGTGGTTTTCAGAGAGACACATGCTCAATTGAAACAATTTAGGAAAAAACAAAACAGAAAAAGCAAGATAGAAATGATCTAAAGCCCCACAACTCAAAGACAACAACTTTTAATTCTTGTCATATTTCTGTGCAGAGTTTTATTAGTTTTTCTCCCATCTTTGAAATTACCCTGCAAACATATGTAAATTTTGTATCTTGCTTTCATATAAGATAAACTTTTACTCTTCTTTTCTTAACATCTCTTTGTGACCATTTAATTGTTATGTACTATCCTGCTATTTGGGTGTGCTGTTAGTTGTTTGTAACTTTTTGCTATTAATATTTCATTAACTATCCTTGTTCATGTAGCTTTTTAATGTTTGATATTATTTCTTTATTAAATATCCTTAGAGGCAGAATTTACTAAGTTAAGGAGTAGGATTGTTTTTAAGGCTGTGATACTTGTGTTATTTATCAAATATTTATTAAATGCTTATTTTCTATGGCACAGAATACAAAGCATTGGGCATAAAAATAAGAATTCATGTTTTTGCCTTTTTTGGCATAGTTGGGAAAATGAGATAATTGTGTAAAAAGTTACAAACCTTGAAGAAAATTAAATTATTTCCAGGTATCAATGGAAAGAGGTGTCGTCAGGAAATAGGATGAAAGTATTTATGTGTGCCATGGAAATTTAAAGAGAAACAATACTGCTCACTACATGGTTGGCTTTATCTTGTACATCATAACAACATTTTATGGTTGGTATGATGCCATGTTAGAGGTATGGAAACTAAGGCCAGGAAAGATGGTTGCACAAACAGTACATGGTAAATTTAGGATTTGGAAATCAGATTCTAAGTCCCATGGGACCAGCTAAGGGCATCTTGGCTTTTGTGGCGGTTGCAGCCTCTCTGAGGCCTTCTTGATAGCATATTCTGGTCCATAGTCTGCATGGGGTCTGCTTTTCTTTAATGTGTTGATGGACTAAAGAGGATGTTATATAAACGCATCAAGTCATTTTTTAGATGTCTCTGATTACCCCATAAGAGTAAAGTTTTAGTGTGACTAGAGAGTGTTTTCAGAGAATCCAGTCCACGGGAAACAACTTTGAGTTTACAGCTTTTCCCTATCTATCCACCAAGTGTATATGTGGGCAACACTGATGTCTAGTTTTAAGGGGCATTTATAACATTATTACATTTTTAATGGTTATCATGTTTTTAAGTATGTTTGAGATTTTCTGGTTTTGTTTTAGGTTACCTTTATTGCTTTTTATTAAAAATAAGCCCTTGAGGTTTTAGATTTCACTTGTCTTTCTCCTGATTTCATTATTTTGTAGAAATCTTCTTCCTATTACGCATGTGTGTATAGAAGAAGGAGAAAAGCCCATGGTGATACTGCCTTACATGAATTGGGGGAATCTTAAGTTGTTTTTACGGCAGTGCAAATTAGTAGAGGCCAATAATCCGCAGGTGAGAAAAATTTGCCCCAATACTAATTATTTGCCGGGAACTTCTGATATTATCTTTGAAAATAGATGTTAACCTTCCTATATATAAACTGTTTAAAAACCTGTAAAAAGAAACTCAAAATGAACTAGAAGATATTTATACCCTGTTGATTTAGAGTAAGATGGTTTATGATTCCTGTCTTAAAGGTTGCACTTCACTGATGGCTGAACTTTCTCCTTTTATCCATTGTGTGTTTATTTATAATCACCTCAGACCCTCTCTAACACCATCTCAGCCATTTTCCTGATAACTCTTTGAAGGCACTGGTACTAGATCTCCCTTGTAGGAATGGAAACACACTTGACAGAGTCATTTGGTCCATATTATACCAAAAGCTGGTCGTGACTGGAGGTCTAGATTATGGGGATAATGGATCTGTTTTTTAATATGCTTGGCTATAAGATATCGATCACTTAGGAGTTTCCTTCTCTTTGCTGCTTGTGCACATGGCTTTGAAGCATTTGGTTATATTCCAGACACATTATGATGGTAGTGGTAGTAAAGCCTGGTTGGTGTTTTGTTGCCTACTGTAACTTGTAGCTGTATTGTTTGTTTTAGAGTTTATAATGATGTACTTACTACAGTTGCCCAGAGAAAGTGGATTCAAATGCTGCATCGGGTGACCTATAAGTCAATATGCTTTGTAAATTGACAGGATTAAAGCCAGGGTTCCCCAAAAATTGTTGGAGGCTGCAGCCCATCAACGTTACCTGAGGAAGAATTTCACTCCTTAGCCCACAGTACTAGCATACTGGCTCTAGAGGAGCATATCAGTAGTGAGAGCTATAGACTTATATTAGTTTGAAAATGGTCTCCAGAGATAATCTCCTAATAAAAACTTTTGATTTTAAAGAACAGGTTATCAAATAATAAACATTTGAAATATTATCTTGAGAATTTGGCATTCATGGAACAGATATTTATTGGGCACCTATTGTAAGTCCTAGTTGTTGGGGAGATCTACCTAACAGATGAGAGAGACAGTGTGAAGTAAATGGTAAGTTACATTACAGAATGATAAGTACTAGTAGATACAAATATTAGGGAGCCATGGGAACATATTCTTGGTCAAGAAGTAGCTTTTTAAAAGTCAAGTGTAGGTGTAAAGAAGTATTTTGGGATGGAGTAGGATTGTGGAATAAAATAAGTAGCTGCCATCATAATTTTTGTGCTAACTACAAGCAATGTCATTTTTTTTTTTTAACCACAGGCAATTTCTCAACAAGACCTGGTACACATGGCCATTCAGATTGCCTGTGGAATGAGCTATCTGGCCAGAAGGGAAGTCATCCACAAAGACCTGGCTGCTAGGAACTGTCTGTAGGTGCCATGAGCTTGTCACTGTCCTTTGATGTTTAGTTTTCCCTGGATTTGGGCTCTCTCCAGGAGTCACTGTGGGAATTGTAAGAGTAACCCTGATTCATATGTTTTAAACAGTCTGATTGCATTTGATGCTCATGTCTTTACTTTTCAGGATTGATGACACACTTCAGGTTAAGATCACAGACAATGCCCTCTCCAGAGACTTGTTCCCCATGGACTATCACTGTTTGGGGGACAATGAAAACAGGCCAGTTCGGTGGATGGCTCTGGAAAGTCTGGTTAATAATGAGTTCTCCAGTGCTAGTGATGTGGTAAGTGCTGGGAATCTTGGATATCAATAGAATGGTGAAGAGGCTTTATGTTTTAATTTTTTTTCTATATATTTTTTTTAATTTAGTAACTGTTCCCTGAAATGTTTCATTGAGAAAGCGAGTGTAGTTAGCTCCAGTCAGCCAGTTCATGGAAAGATGCTGTGACTCAGACCATGGGCCATCAATGTGTGTAATCACATTTCATCCTCAGAGTAACCCTGTGAGGGGGCTGTTAACACTATGAAGTAGCTAGACACGAATATCCCAGTTTTAAAGGTAGATACTAAGGCTTAGAGAGATTTCAGTATTTGGGTTTTTTTTTTTTTTCTTATGTAAGTCTCAGAAGAACCAAGTGATTGCCAGATCATAAAGATTTATTGTTCCTTTCAAACATCCTCTTCCAACATTATGAACTGTGTTATTTGTAATTCCCCAGATGCCACTCTCTTCCCTTTTGTCTGTTTCTGAGTAGTTCTGCCCACCAGAGAAGATCATATAGTGGGATCCTTTATACTTAGTGATGAATAGTTTCAGTAGCCACGTTTACTTGTGGGTATTTTGTAGACATTTTAAATTGCTTTTAATTTCTCACTTTTTAGTCTCATTTGAAAGATGGATTTATTTTTCTATCTCAGTACAGTTTGTTACTGTAGCTGAATAGAGATTAGGTAAAACTTTTGCTTATAGGGTCGCCCTCTGTGACCACTCAATGATACGTTAGTATTAAATATAAAACCATAAGAGACTTGAATGCAGAGAGCAAATTGAGGGTTGATGGGGGGTTGGGGAAGGGGAGAAATGGGTGATGGGCATTGAGGAGGGCACTTGTTGGGATGAGCACTGGGTATTGTATGTAAACGATGAATCACAGGAATCTACCCCCAAAGCCAAGAGCACACTGTATACACTGTATATTAGCTAACTTGACATAAATTTTTAAAAATAAATAAATATAAAATCTTATAGAATTATTTGCTTTGAAGTTTCAACTGTAAAAATTGGGCTTACTATATCCTTGTATCTTGTGGTTTACATCAATAGATTTTATTTATAATATAGGGTTACCCTTTTACTTCTAAGTTTGTGTGCTTTAAGGATTGCTCTTTTAATGCCCTCATTTCCTTAGTTGTATTAGTCCTCTGGATGCTGTAACAAATTATGCAACCTTGGTGGTAAAACAAGAGAGGTTTATTCTCACAATTGAATTCTGGAGGTCAGATGTCTGATATGAAGGTGTAGACAGGGCCATGCTCCCTCCAGAGCCCCTAAGGGGGAAACTTTCCTTGTTTTTTCCAGCTGCTGATGGCTGTTGGCATTTCTTGGCTCATGGCTGCATCTCTCTGCTGCATGTTCCTATCACCTTCTCTTCTGTGTGTGTCTGTCTCTTAAAACTCCTTCTCCCTCTCTCTTATAAAGATATTTATGATTGCATTTAGGACCCACCTATATAATCCAGGATAAGCTTTTTTGGGGGTGGGAGAGAAGGGTTGTATTTTCAGTTTTGATACCGATTTTTCTCAAATAATATAAAATGGGAAAGCGGAGTTTGATTTTAGTCTAGCACACAGCTCCTGTATGAATATCACTAAGGACAAATTATGCTCTTATTGATATGTTTTGGAGGTTGCCAGATCTTTATTTATTTATTTAAAAAAAAATTTTTTTTTCAACGTTTATTTATTTTTGGGACAGAGAGAGACAGAGCATGAACGGGGGAGGGGCAGAGAGAGAGGGAGACACAGAATCGGAAACAGGCTCCAGGCTCCGAGCCATCAGCCCGGAGCCCGACGCGGGGCTCGAACTCACGGACCGCGAGATCATGACCTGGCTGAAGACGGACGCTTAACTGACTGCGCCACCCAGGCGCCCCTGCCAGATCTTTATTTAGAAGTTCCGAATTGTAGCTGGAATTCTTTGCCAGCTTCTACATTAAGCAAAGCTGTTTTCATGGGAGTACAAATGAGTTTAACGTTTTTAGCACATAGCTTAAAACATAATATCAGTTAAACTAGAACTATATGGTTTTCAGATCTACCCCTTTAATAGAAAGGGGTAGAAATCTGAACATTTTTGAGTGAAGAAAAGTAACTTTGTTCAATATAGTTTTTTTAAATTCTTACTCCATTGTTGATTTAAAAGATTAAGTCACTCATCTCTTTGGGATATTACTATTTTTTTCCATGGTTGATTTTTAAAATTTGTGATTTTGTTACTCATTGAAATATAGCATAATTGCCTTAGCAGAAATGAAGGGGCAGTTGGGGTGAACCCAAAACTAGTCTAGTGGGCAGGAAATGGAAGATGTTTCTTAAATAACAAGTATGCCATGTAACTTCAAGAGATTGGGAATTGTTTGATTAATCTCTCAGTAAAAGGAGTAGTGATAGTTTCTATTTCAAGGGAATATACAAGATGGACAATAGTGCTGTTTGCTCTTACAGTGGAAGCCCCTAGAAAATGCACTGCTTAATTTAATGTATTTAGCTGTGTAGGTTATTCCACTCTAAGTTTGAGAAGTAATGGAATTATGTTTTATAACATTTATGATTAAATATTTCACAGGAACTCCTGAGTGGAAGTTAAATTAGATAATACACTTTCAACCAATGAAACTGTAGTTAATAATACATCCCTAGGTGGGGTGCCTGGGTGGCTCAGTCGGTTAAGCATCCGACTTCGGCTCAGGTCATGATCTCATGGTTCATGGATTCAAGCCCCGTGTCGGGCTCTGTGTGGACCACTCAGAGTCTACAGCCCGCTTGGATTCTGTGTCTCCCTCTTTCTTTGCCCCTCCTCTGCTCCCGCTCTGTGTCTCTTACCTTCAAAAATAAACATTAAAAAAAAAATAATACATCCCTGAGCAATGTGATCTACATCTCTTCAGCCGAGTACACTGTCCTGTATTAAGTCCCAAGTTGAGGATACATGGTTTACTTGAGCAAACATTTCAAAATTATATTTAGAATTAGTTACTTTTATGGTTATGGTATTTTATAAATTTTGCAAGAGTTCATATATTTTATGTAAGAATCTGTCTTCTCTCAGAATGTAGTTGTACTAGATACCTTATTGCTTGCTGCTTGATCACTTGACAGCTTTATTTTTAAAAAATCTCCACGAACTTAATGGTGAGCAACTTAACAGCAGACTTACTTTAAAATCATAATTACTTTTAGTGTATCTTGGCATAAACTTATTTGAAATCTCTGTGTGACCCAAATTCTTCTGGCTGTACTTAGAATGTGATAGTGAGAAAACCCATGGATTTACATTTAATATGGTTAATCCTAAAATGTTCAGATTTTTCTTCTTTAGATTCTTAGAAATTAATTTCTTTTAAAATATATGTGTGTGTGTGTATATTTTCCCTTTAAATATCTTTTGTCTTGGATAGTTAAGATTAAAAGGAATAGGAACACTTTTCTGTGTCCTATGACTGTGATGTCACACTCACTATTAGTGTATTCAGTTTTGTGGGATTAAATACTTTTTGAATTCTTACATTAAAACACAAATGTTAAAGATTGCTTGTTAACACTTGTATTGAAAATCTTTATGCATAATCATTGTTCTCTGTTCCCACTTTTCCATTATGGATGGAGTTGGGGGTTCAAAAGCTCCATTTGAAATACTGGTTTGGGGCTGAAAAGCTTTGTGTGTAGTCATATGCAAGATAAGTAATGTAACTCCACTCCCAACAGAGTCCTACACATGTAAAATACACATTTCAGGCGTAAATGTAGCACCTAACAAATGATATAACTGCCTTGGAGGGGGCATTTTCTTTGTCCTTTAAAAGAGCCTTAACATTTTTGCTTTTTTTTTTTATAGTTGAAAATTCTATGTGATTTATTTGGAAATACATTAATGTTTTCTATCTTAAAAATAATACATTGCGGGGCGCCTGGGTGGCTCAGTCGGTTAAGCGTCCGACTTCAGCCAGGTCACGATCTCGCGGTCCGTGAGTTCGAGCCCCGCGTCGGGCTCTGGGCTGATGGCTCAGAGCCTGGAGCCTGTTTCCGATTCTGTGTCTCCCTCTCTCTCTGCCCCTCCCCCGTTCATGCTCTGTCTCTCTCTGTCCCAAAAATAAATAAATGTTGAAAAAAAAAAATAATACATTGCATCTCTTGATTGTGTTTCCATAATTTTTACTGAAAAGATTCAATATTTCAGTATGTCAATATTCTTATAATGTTAATATCAGCTTTCAACTGTTGAACTTAGGAAATATGCACAACTAGATTTGACTGGTTATAAATCTGTTTTATTATTCCAAGATATGACATCATCTTAGGCATTCTTAAGAATTTCTGGATATTGTTTTTATTCTGTTTTCATCAGATATAGATACCACCATGGATTTTTTTGTGTGACTTTCTTTTCCTTTATTTGAAAATAGATTTCTTGATTTATATCTTCTTTCAACTATTTAGGTAATTATAGTAGCTAACATAATTCTGCTATTAAGAGACTACCTCCTATTAAGAGACTAAATGCAATCAGGAATGCACAATTAAGAGTTTCTTTCTTAGTACTTTTTTGTCTTTATAGTATTACATTGTTTTTAAAAAACATTTTCTTGGCAAAAACAAGTCAAGGAAATGATTTCCATGCTAATCTTATCAGTATGACTTACTGTAATGAGACTCTTTAAGGTATTTGAACAGTTTTAGGGTACAGAGTAAATTAAAATGTGTTTCTTGTGCCTTTACAATATTTATTTTGTGAACATTAAAGACGACCTAGAAGAAGGAGGGAAATTTAGTTATCTAGATCTAGGTATCTAGATAACTATATCTATAGCAGAGTGCTTCTTACTGCTCATTTGCCCAGTGTCATGGAAAGTCATTGCCCATGCCTTGAGTAGAAGAAATTCACATTGGTAATACACTCATGAAGAGTGGTCTTCTGAACTACTGTGGTATCAAAGAGAAAGGTACGGTTTTCAGAGAATATGTAGCATTTGGGGGAGGAGGGGTTTGAGAACTATAGCTTCTACG